GCTAAACTATCTCTAATTGTGCCAAGGATAAACAAGTCATTCTTAATGTGTTTCCATCTATAAAATTCATGGGCAAATTCTTGTTTAAGCAGAGCTTTTTTAAGACTTTTGGGGGTAGGGAGCATGTTTTGAAGACAAAATAAATCTGATACATATATTTGAATTCCTAATTTCTATGGCACTGGTTCTCACATTTAAAAAGCTAGGATGGAAACTATCATTCTTCAAGAAATAGTTCCCATAAGGCACTCAAGAATTACAGATTGGATATACAAATCAATTAACATAATTCATCACATCAACAGGAGCAAGGATAAGAACCACATAGTTATCTCAATAGATGCAGAAAAGGCATTTGACAAGATCCAACACCCGTTTATGAGGAAGGTTCTGGAAAAATTAGGAATCCATGGAACATTCCTCAATACAATAAAGGCTGTATATGACAAACCTACAGCCAGCATATACTTAATGGTGAAAAACTAAAGCCATTTCCTCTTAACTCAGGAACGAGACAAGGATGTCCACTCTCTCCACTTCTCTTCAATCTAGTATTAGAATGCCTAGCTACAGCAATAAGACAAGATACAAACATACAGGGGATCCAAATACGGAAAGAAGAAGTAAAACTCTCTCTCTTTGAGGATGACATGATCTTGTATTTAAAGAATCCCATAGACTCCACTCCCAAATTACTCAAGTTGATTCAAAACTTTGGCAAAGTAGCAGGGTATAAAATTAACCCCCCAAAATCAATGGCTTTTCTGTATGCCAACAATGAGAAAAGTGTAGCTGAAATTAGAAAAGCAACTCCATTCATAATAGCCCCACAAAAAATAAAATACCTAGGAATTAACTTAACCAAAGAAGTGAAGGACCTCTATGATGAAAACTTTAAAAACTTGAAAAAGGAAATCAAATAGAACTTAGAAAGTGGCAAAAAACAAAAACAAAAAAAAAAAACCTCCCATGCTCCTGGACTGGAAAGATCAACATCAAGAAAATGGCAATACTTCCCAAGGCTATCTACAAATTCAATGCCATACCTATCAATACTCCAACCTCATTCTTCAAGGAAATAGAAGAGGCAATCCAAAAATTCATATGGAACAATAAAAGACCCTGAATAGCAAAAAACGATCCTCAACAGAAAGAACAGTGCTGGAGGAATATCAATACCAAATTTCAAACTCTACTATAAAGCCATAGTAATCAAAACAGCTTAGTACTGGCTTAAGAACAGACCTCAGGACCAATGGAATAGAATTGAAAACCCAGAAATGAACCTGAAGACCTACAGCCATCTAATCTTCGATAAGGGAGCTAAAAAAAAAAAAAAAAAAGAATGGAAGAAAGACAGCTTCTTCAGTAAATAGTGCTGGCAAAATTGGTTAACTATTTGTAGAAAACTAAAGCTAGATCCTTATATATCACCCTGCACCAGAATCAACTCCAAATGGATCAAAGACCTCAGAGTCAAAGCAAACACTCTGAAAACATTACAGGATGGAATAGGAGAAACCCTAGGTCTCCTTGGCACAGGCTGAAATTTTCTTAATAGAGACCCAGAAACACAACAAATCAAAGAAAGGTTGGACAAATGGGATTGCATGAAATTGCAGAGCTTCTGCATGGCAAAGAACATAGCTAGCAAGATCAATAGAAAGCCCACGGATTGGGAGAAGATCTTCACTAACCATACAACAGACAAGAGTCTTATATCTAAAATATACCTGGAACTCAAAAAATTAAATCCCCCAACAACAAATCTTCAAAGAAACAACTGCCCAATAAATAAGTGGGTGAAAGACTTAAAGAGAAACTTCTCTGAAGAGGAAAGAAGGATGGCCAATAGACACATGAAGAAATGCTCAACCTCTCTAGCCATAAAAGAAATGCAAATCAAAACAACATTGAGATACCACCTCACCCCAGTTAGAATGGCTATAATCAAGACCTCTAATAACAACAGATGCTGGAGGGGATGTGGACAGAAGGGAACCTTACTGCATTGTTGGTGGGAGTGTAAACTTGTTCAACCACTTTGGAAAGTAGTATGGAGGTTCCTCAAAAGACTCCACATAGAGCTCCCCTATGACCCAGCAATCCCACTTTTGGGCATTTACCCAAATGTTCACAAACAAGACCACACTAAAGCTACCAGCACAACTATGTTTATTGCAGCCTTATTTATCATAGCTAAGATATAGAACCAACCCAGATGCCCCTCAGTAAATGAATGGATCAAGAAAATGTGGTATATATACACAATGGAATTCTATGCCTCCATCAGAAAGAATGACATTGCCCCATTTGTTAGGAAATGGAAAGACTTGGAAAAAATTATATTAAGTGAAGTAAGCCAGGCCCAAAGAAACATAGGTCCCATGGTTTCCCTTATTTGCAATAACTAGTACATGTCAGAGTCAAGCAGAAAAGGTCAGATAAGTTGATGTTAGGGAAATGAACCCTAATATATGTATTCAAATATTTTTTTCTTTCATGCGATTGTTTCTAACACATTTATAAGATTATTTCTTTGTTGCTTTGTATGTCCCTCCCCCATGGTATAACCCCTGCTTTCACTGTATTTGATATTGTTATAATTTGTGGAGGGAAAGGGGAAAAACAAATTGTTTAAATAGGGATACAGGTGGACCCATTGCAACAATGAGATGTATAAGTTGTTATGTCGAAAACGAACTTTACAACTTTGGTGGGGGGGAGGAGGGTTGGGTGAGGGGGGCGAGGGGAGGATGGAGGATGGGACGGGAAGGGGAAACAAAGGAGGAGGCTGCAATGCTTGATAAGAAATGTACTCATTATCTTGCCCATGTAATTGTAACCCCTCTGTACAGTATTTTCACAATAAAATAAAAAGAATTACAGATTGGCTCTCAACGATCATATTCTTAGTCTCTCAAATATGCCTAAATGGTGTGCCAAGATCCCAGGAAATTGAGGTGGCATTGAGACTTGAAAAGAGTTCAACTATACCTGAGTTTTGGGTTTTGGGGATACATGTCTGATTTAAAATGTTCGGATTTCTATAAAGAGCCAGAGTCTAGAAAAGAAGAAAAAAAAAAAAAACTCATTGCAGAAGCTCCTGTTGATGGAGCTGAGAAGCAGAAGAGCCACAGCCCTCTGGAACTCAGAATACACCCCTACAAGATGAGCAGGAAGTACCCAGGACTTAAAGTCAGCCCATCTCAAATTAATTCTTAGCAGTTTCTGTTGTTGGTGGTGGTGGTGGTGGTGGTGGGCGTGGTTGTGATAGGGGTGGCCTTGGGTTTGAACTCAGGGCCTGGAAGCTGTCCTTGAGCTCTTCTGCTCAAGGCTGGTGCTCTACCACTTTGACCACAGCTCCACTTTCAGGGTGTTTTTGTTTTTGTTTTTTAGTGGTTAATTGGAGATAAGAGTATCATGAGGACTTTTCTGCCCTGGCTGGCATTGAACTGCAATCGTTAGATCTCAGTCTCCTCAGTAGCTAGGATCATAGCCATGAGCCACCAGTGCCTGGCAATTGTTAGCTATTTCTATGTTGAAATCTCACTTAGAAACGTTCTTCTTTCCCTGTCATTGAGATCAATGCAAAGGGATGATCTAACCATTTTCCTACAGATCTATTGCTCTACATCCTACATGTCTAAGGGCCACAAAGACCCAGTGCAGAGGCAGCATGAGTGTCCTGAAAGCTCACAGCTTTCCTCCTTGCAGCGGAGCTACTCTGACATGCTTCCAGACAGTAACAGAGATGGAAAAGGAAGCAGCATATGGCGAAACTCACAAAATGCAGCCAAAGCATCACCAGTGAGCAAGAGGCCAAACTTCTGTTCCCACCAGAGGATGGAGGAGCTCCGCAGATCCTGCAGCCCGCAGCAGATCGCCCCAGGCAGGGTGGTCTAAGTTTCTCCCTCTGGACCCCACAGGGCGCCTGCTCTTGACAGGAGTTTACAGAGACTCTCACAGGCTCTGGGAGAAGAAAAACAAAGGCTCTGTATGATGAAAGGCTGAGTCCAAATAAGACTGCAACAGAATGGCCATAATTGGCAACAAACATTAATTAGGGGTAAATTTACATACATTTGAATGGAAATTTTAAGATCATGTCTTGAAAATGACCTGTAAGTTTCACCTCCATATTTTTTTTTTCCCAGTTAAGAGCACAGGAAGAAGTCAGGTGTGGTGGCTCATGCCTGTAATCCTAGATACTCAGGAGGCTAAGATCTAAGGATGGCAGTTCAAAGCCGACCTGAGCAGGAAACTGTGAGATTCTTTTTTTTATAATTGTGAAAATACTGTACAGAGGGGTTACAATTACGTGGGCAAGATAATGAGTACATTTCTTATCAAGCATTGTAGCCTCCTCCTTTGTTTCCCCTTCCCATCCCATCCTCCTCCCCGCCCCCACCCAAACTGTGAGATTCTTATCTCTGATAAACTTCCCCAAAAAAGTCAAGAGTAGAGCTGTGGTTCAGGTGATAGAGCACTAGCCTTGAGCAAAAAAACCTCAGGGACCATGCCCAAGCCCTAAGTTCAAGTCCCAGGATCAGCAGATTGAGCCAACTAAGGCTCAATGGTAGAGCATACCTGTCTAGCAAGCACAAATCCCTGAGTTCAAACCCCAGTACTGGCCCCCCCCCCAAAAAAAAAAGAAATAAAAAGAAAAGAATGCAAGAAGATAAAATGCTATTGGGGTAATCTTTTTATACAAAAAAGGCTGAGGAAAAGTTACAGCAGAACAGACAATCTAATCATACTCTATCAGGAATGGTAACTTTTACAAATAAGCTTAAATATTCATGCTAATATGAACTACTATAATAATAAGATAACATAGAGTTGAATTTATATGATGAAATTATCAAAAATTGATCAATACGATCCATGCAGATGTTGACATCTTACTTACAGTCTATGTACAATTCCAATATACCTATCCATCACCATGTGTTCCTTAGTTAATACCCCAAAAGCACAATGCAAAGTACAGTCATTACCTTGTATTAACCAAGAGCAATTTTATAAGGTTCAAGCTGTACCACGAGCCTTCAGTCCCATCGCCACATTCTTCCACACCTGCCACTGGCTGATTACCAGGCGTGTCGCTCTGGTCACATACAGACAGCAAAGTGCACGCAAAAAATGGATAACCAAAAGAGACACCGGGCAGTGAAAATGAAAGTGCAGAAGAGAAACAAAAAGGAAGAAAGTTAGAAGTCAATTTCCAACCAAGCATCAAAGCAGTTAGAGAGGAAGTCACCAGCAGTAGCCTGTGGGTACCACGTACCACTGATTCACACACTGAAGTTCACAGCCAAATGAACGTGGTCAAGGTAAACTTAGCTACATAAGCTACATAAGTGAAATATATGGTTGAGATACAAAATCTGGAGATAGCCAGGAGGAAGAAACGTGGAAAACAAATTGATGTCATTAAAGGAACTCTTAAAGACATTTTCCATTAAAGCACAAAGGATCTGTGTGGGAAACTGATCCAGACTTAGAAGGGACAAGACAATTCTCTAATACATGGACAAAATACTTATTCTGTGCCCTAAATTGTATCACTGAAAGACAGCAATCACTCTATAAGCTATTCTTGATATGATGTTGCAAACACCCTACATCTCAGTGTTTCCAAGATGTTAAAATTATATGGTCCCAAATGAATATTCATTTTAATAATTTTAGACTTCCCTTTGTCTTTATAACTGACAACATCAAAGTTTTTGACATTTTAAGGACAGTTTTTTTTGGGGGGGGGAGGGTCTGGTTGTGGGGCCTGAACTCTGGGCCTGGGTGCTGTCCCTAGCACTCTACCACTTGAGCCACAACACCACTTCCGGCTTTTTTCTTTTTGCTTATGTGGTGCTGAGGAATCAAACCAAGGGCCTTGTGCATGCAAGGCAAATGCTCTACCACTGAGCCACCTTCCCAGCCCTTGAGGACAGTTTTTAAAGGTCACAGAACAATCAAAATTCTTCCCCTTTATTAAGATCACTTTACATGGATTTGGCTCAAGGTCATTTTATCAATCTTTACCATACAATAGAACAAAAAGAAGACCTGGCCTCTCCCAAGAACTGTGAGGAAATCAGGCCCGTCTGTCCAGAGACCAGCTGGGGAAGGAAAGAAACCACATTTGGGGCTCCTCTGTCCCCCAACTCTACTTTTTTCATTCCAGTAAAACCTTCTAGAGGTTTTCAATATCTTTATCTTCAGTCAGGGAACTCTTATCTTGTCCACTCCTGTTTCTCTCGGACCCCTGAATCTTAACTTTTCCCTGAAAGAGAGTAGACAGGGAGCAGAGTAAATAAATCACCTTAAAGCTGAGCAATGTGAACCAGGTGATTCAAGTTGGCCTGATCTTTCCTGCTCAAATCCTTAAACCTATCTTTCCAGCTCTTGATTGGGAAGAATTAGTAATGGAGCTAGAACGTGCTGTTTTGTCCATTTGTTTTTCCATGTTTGATTTTCAATAAAAATTTTATCCACATATGCAAAGTATGTTAGCCGTAATTGAAATACACACACAATCCACCTCTTAATTTATAAACTGTACTCACACGATGTTCTGTGTGTTCTTGTTTCCTTCTACCCCCTCTCCCTTCCACCCACACCCATTTCTTCCAAAGAGGCCATATAGTTGAATTTGCTCAGTTAGGTATCAACCAGAATCATTTTTTTTTTTTCGGTCAGTCATGGGGCTTGAACTCTGGGCCTGGGCACTGTCTGTTAGCTCTTCAGCTCAAGGTTAGCGCTCTACCCCTTGAGGGATAGCACCACTTCCAGTTTTCTGATGGTTTATTGGAGATAAGAGTTTCATGAACTTTCCTGCCCGGGCTGGCTTTGAACAGTGATCCTCAGATCTCAGCCTTCTGAGTAGGTAGGATTACAGGCGTGAGCCACCAGTTCCCAGCTAACCAGAATCATTTTTACCTCCTCTGGGTCTTCATATGTGGGTCTGAGCAAATTCTCTGAGCAAGTCTCCTGGTCCCAGGACTTAGGAAGGAGTGTGCCCTTGGAAACACCAGCTTTCCTGTCCACCGAGGAGTCATCAAACGGATTAGTGTCCCTTGTGCTCCCAGAAAAGCCTTCCAACCAGTCTTCCCAGCGATTTTCCCAAAATTTAGTTCATATGTAGTGAGTGGTTCTAGTATCTGGGAGCCCACACAGCTGTGAGAGGAAATCTGGAGCATCACAATTTTTCCCTTCAAGGTTTGGCTTATTATTCCACTTCCTCGCTGGATTATAAGGGTGTTATTGTATTTCGAGTGCACTTTGCATGATCTGTGACAATCAAGTGATTGGTCATGGTTAGCTGAAAAAATGTCTTGGAGGTGAGCTGTGTTCTTCAGGGACCCGTTCTCTAATCTGGCCATTTCTATGAAGAGCAAGCACATGAGAGAGACCAAGAGGAACCAGAACCCCAATGTCTGCTTTTCCAGTAGCACATTCATGGCTTCCTACTCCATTCTGCAGGAATTTAGACCCAAGAGTCTTGGTTACCTAGATCTACATTCTGAGTCCTTGTCATAGTAGGCTGGATGTGGTTACCTAGGTCTATATTCTGAACCCTCGTCATAGTAGGCTTTGGTTTCTTATCTCTTCCGTTACCCATGATCTATTCATCTCACCAATGACTCACAACCAATTCTTCAATCACCTTTAGTTCCCTAAATGTCAGCAGAAAGCACACAAAGAAGAAATCATTCATTAACTGAACTTGGGCTTGATATCAGCTTACAATCTGGTCATTCTATATGATGAATCCTGATTTCTACTTAAGAATCATCACCTTGTATTAGTTATTCACTGCTGGGGAACAGACCTCTAAAAATGTAATGATTTAGGAAAAGCAACACACATTTCTTAATTTCTGCTGGACAGGCCCTCAGGATCAGCTGAATTCATAGCCAAGGATCTTGGAGGAAGTGCAAATGTCCACCCGTGTTTGTGTAGGTAGACGGTCCACCTGTCTGCTGAGCCACACAGGCTGGTGTGTCCATGCTGAGTGTTACAGGACTGCAGGGCCCCTCAGCCCTGGGTCTCCTCCAGGGATTTCTAAGTGTTTTTACAACATGGCTTTTGCCGGAGGGTGTGACCTTGGAGAGCAAGAGCACACTCAAGCATCTCTTGTGACTCAGCCTCAAAAATCCCACTGTCTTTGTCACGATATTCTGAGCAGTCACTAGCCATCACTGTTATCTGTGGAGGCAATCTCGGGAAGGAAAGAGTTCCAGGTGGTTCGGGCTACACATGTGAAGTGGTCTTCCCGAAGCCTCATCACCAACCTAAGCAAATACTTTTATTTTTTCATTTGCCAGGGTATAAAATCTAAATATCCTCTCACCTCCATATATACAGTTCATAAACTACTCCAACACTGAATAAAGAGAAGAAAGCAAACTTGGGCATTTCCTAGGCAGAGATTGCAACATGTTTGCAAGAAATCTCATAGCCTTGGGGTTTAATATGTCTTTCATGAGATTCCAGAAAACAAAATTACATTTTTGTGACTGAAGAGAGAATAGTAGTAGCGTGGATGGAAACGGTGGAGGAGGGCTGAACATGGATATGAAAGTCCTCTTTTTACATCTTCAAATCTTCTTGAGAGTCCTTTGGTTTACTCTTTTCTATCAGATCATAAGCTCCATTCTATGGGAAACTTTTTTGCCCTTCTTCTGACAGTAACTGTCGCCAAAGAATAACAGTAGGCCTCATTCTGCTTCCTGGAATGTCTGACATGACAGCATCCATAGAATTTCTGGAATTTCCTCACTGTCTTCCAGAAAGGTAGAAGCCATGAGTCTAATTTCAAAACAATGTTAGCTTTGTTGCTGCTGGTATTGCAAGCCAGAAACCTGACAATGTTCCACAAAGCAGTGGTTTAAAAATATTCATACTTCAAATACCTAGTTAGTTGCCACATCTTAAAGAACCAGTAAGTTTTCCACAAGATGCTTTAGCATCATCAAGTAATGTTCTTTCAGCCCTCTCTTCCTTGTGAATTTGTGTGTCTTATTGCATCCACTCTCAGTTCCTCACCAATCCCAGTAGGTCACGAGTCTGTACCTTCCATGGGCCATGTCATAAATAGGGCCCTCCGGCCCTCTGGCTCTAGCTGGCTTTTGCTAAGGCAGGATACTGGCAGGAGGCAAAAGTCAAGACAAATGTGTCTCTGTTCCTTTCCTCCTCTCCCTCTTCCTGGGTGGTGATGTTCAGCCAAGGATCCCAACCTCTGAAGACTCTTCTCCTCTCTTACCTGCTGCCCTCTCCCTTCCCATGGGTGTTAGAACGTTTTTCCCACCAGTCCTGCAACCTCAGAATCTGCCTACCCATTAGAAAATAACCCGCTCATGAGACTCATTCCTTCAGAGCATGTCATCTTTCCTGCAGAAATCAGGACCAGTGGTGTGTGCATGACTAATTTTTTTTTAACCTTCACATCAATGTGGTCAGGATTTCACATTTCTTCCCCCCCCCCCCCCCCCCGCCCAATAAAAAGTCAACTGCAAGAGAATCAGCCAACTGTAACAACTTGACATAACTACTAAAAGAACCGAGGCATTTCGCTGCAATGAAAACTAAAGAAAGATGTTTCACCCACATACGTTTTAATTGAGGGACTATGAAAGAATGCTAAGAAAAACAGGAGTATTGGTCAAGTCCGTGGCCCGTGAGAACTAGTGTGCTGAATATTCTCACCCTGAGAATAATCCATAGCCTATAGGAAAACACATCTGTAACAAGTTTTCTGCCTCTAACGAGACCTAAGAAACTGGGGACCTTTGGCAATTAGAACCACATACATGCAATGTTTGGTTTAAATTAAGCCTTATTTAAAAAGAAAAGTTTTCTATACTCAAATGTACTCTGCATTTTAACATCTTAAGTAACTATTAATAAAATACTTGAGGTGTTATGGTTGAATTTTGACAAGATATGCTCACCCTTTGTGTCCCTTAAATAGGTTTAAGTTAGCTTTAAAATAATAACCTAATTTCCTGAACATGAGGGAAGAATATGAGTCTTCTAGAATAATTGTTATTCTTTTCCATTTTGGTGACACGAACATTTAACCTAAGATCTGCTATCTGAACAAATGTGTTATCGGCTACAGCACAGGTGCAGCATCATACCACAGCTTTCTAGAACTTACTCTAACTCCCTTCCACCTCCTCAACCACCACCCCACCCTAAGTCTCAGAATGTGAAT